TCGTTCACAAATTGAGAGCAAAAATAAAAGGGCGTCACGAACAGAGAAGGCGCACGAGCACAGAACGCTCCATTTCAGAACGAAGTTGTTCATAGCGGCACAATGAAAGAAAACAAACAGCAAATGCACTTTAACGAATTCCTGCTGTTCAAATTGTCATCACACATGACCTGATTAATAAGGGAATGAATAAGAAAAATCCCATAATGAAATAAATTGCATGAAATGTTGTTATGTAAATACGCATGTGAAAACTCCTTGATACTTCAAATGACCTCTTCAGGAAGTTTAAAAAATTCACAGAAAAAAAGGAATTTCTTTCTTTTAAGCAAGCACTGGGGGCAAAAGTCTTCCTCGTCCAACAAAAAGTACTTTTCAATGAGTTCAGAAAGCGGCTAATAGCATCATGGGATGCGTTGTGGCGCCTTGGCTTCGCTGAAAATTAGCGGGTCGCGCGAAACGCGAGTCCGGCGCGAAGTCTAAACGCCTTCTTCGGCTACAGTTATATATGTTGCAAGAACACCGTGAGTGGGGCCGATGTCAGACTTTGCGATTGGAGCGATTTTGCACCAATTGCAGGAGCGACGGATCGCTCCAAAGTGCGAGCGACGGGAGATTTACCCGAGCGGCGCCGTGTGTATCGGTCGTCGGCGGGGTAAATCTCCCGTCGCTCGCACTTTGGAGCGATCCGTCGCTCCTGCAATTGGTGCAAAATCGCTCCAATCGCAAAGTCTGACATCGGCCAGTGCATCCTTTTGCCACACAGGAGCAGTAGATTTCACCGAGAAAATTGCAGCGTCCATTAAAAACTTGAAACGTGAATGCGTTCGAGAGACAATGCATTCGTCGTGGCTCTAGACGAGGACGGCGTTGTTGAAAGGAGCTTATTGACAAAAAAGGCAAACAAGTGGAAACGGCAAAAATGAGGAGAAACTTCGAGAAAGAGCTAAAAAATCGAAAATGGGAAGAGATCAAATAGAGAGAAGAGACCCACATCAAGTACAGATTCACATCTCGACAGAGACGAATTTATTAGGAATTCCCTCGCGTATGAACTTGCGTATAGGATTTACACAACTCGTTTCAAACTCTAAGCCTACCTAAAGGCTTTACCCACAATTCCAATGAGTTTCCAGTCGAACGAATCTTCTACGATGAGCGTGAAACATGCGCGAAGATTTGCAAATGGAACAGGTTCCAACACTAATGAACTCAGGCAGAGATAAAAAAAGGCAGTTAACACGTTGAAGCCCGCACAGGTTCTGGGTTTTGTAGCTGCAAATTAGGATAAAAAAGAAGCACTATCGCTAGATACGGGGGCAATGTGGTGGCAATGTACTTGGAAGTGGGTAAATAAGCTTTTGGCGGGGTAAGAGAGTACCCAGGGTGTGTGAACAATTCTCACTTTTCTCAGCGTTCCTGCCAAGCTCCTAAGCTTAGTTCTAGAGAATGTCCCCCTATATTGCGATAGCACCAAAAAGGATACCACAGATTCTACGTTTATCACAGAGAAAACCCATAGAGCTACACGGTTAGCAGTGTTTCCGAGGGAGGGAGACGTAGGGCAATCTTTCTTCGATCTTATAAGAAACGCTATTTTACGGTCTTCAATGAAATCCCCGCACTTTCCGTGTAAGTCCACCACAAAAATATACCAACGGCTAGGTGAAGGATTGAGGCAGTTCCAAAAAAGCTGAAGTAAGGCCCGTTCAATCGCTAAATCGCCTCGCCTTTCTGCTAGAAGGCCGCACTAGTCATATAGGTCACAAGCATTATATCATCATTGGACGTTTCAGGACGAATAAAACCTCAATGGCAGCCTTAGGCGCATTCATACGTCGGTATCGTAGTATAAATGCGACTTATCATAACCCCTAACGCTTATGGCGCTGCAAGTGTATGCCATATAGAGCGCGGGAACGAAAATTTGACGTCGCACTCGAAGTGATTCAATTACATGCAGTGGCAACGCTAAAATGGAAGTCCTTAGCGGTTTCCAAGCAATTTACGGATGATAGAACGAATACCACTCCTCTTCTGGGTACTGCCCAAAATTATCCCCAGAGCAAAAAACGCAGGATCATGGGCGTTTTGAGATGTTGCATCGTGACCGAATGTCAATATAATTTTAATGGATGTGTGAAACAATGCTGCACCTCCGCTGGAGCGCCTCCCGAATCTCCGAAGGAAACCCCACGTCATTTTGCACCCTTAACTAAGCGACAAAGTACATGCACGCGGATTAGCGACATTTGTAGTGCTGTAGGGCGAAATATGGCTTTAGGTGTTTTTTTTTTTTTTTTCATAGATTGTTGTAACGTATGGAGTTCAAGGGGAAGCTGGCCCTCAATGTTGTAGGACCATTTCTGAGTATCTCCTTCATGAAACCTTGGCCTTGCTGGTAGTTGAAGAAAAGCAGATTGCTATGTTACCACATCAGGGAGGGATGCACTTTGTAATTGTGCGTTTCGGGAAACCCGATGTGATTCAGGCTAAAAATGGAAGGATCAATTGTGATTTGTAGAAAATTGGACGCTGGAAATTTTTCTTCGTTAATGAGTGTCATTTCTATGTTGGTAAAGGCCATCAGCTTAGTATTTTCAGACGCTTCCGATCACAAGGATGTGTATGCGGCCACAAACAGAGCTCAGAACTGCTCGCTCTACACCGGATATTTAATATTTGAAGGTCGAGGCTTGCGATCTCTGTTTCCTTTTTTACTCCCAAAGCAGTTGCACTTCCTATTTACTTTTGTTCTGCATCGTCCTTTCTGCATTTTTGCCTCATATTTCCGTGAGAACGGCAGATTTCTTTCCGTGAAGCGCCGAAATGAAGGGTGGCAGAGTACTGTGCCGTGATTTCCCTTCAAGGTGCTTAGGCCGATCCCTGCAGCTGGGCAGAAAAACCAATGTGAAGAATGCTCCGAAATTACGCTAGAAGCTGAAAAACATCTGCTTGAGGACTACTGCAAACCTCACAATCAGAGTAGAACTTCAGCCTCAATAAGCTTGTGTATGGACTTCTAAAAAATCCTTCTGTAAGTCCATTTGCCTTCTGCGATCAACGAAAGAGGGGCGCTTTTGGTTAACTTGATTAAGTGATCAATTCAGAGTTCAGAATTCTCAAATAGGAATGAGCGGCCAGGGAAAAGGTGCCACAAATGTAAAACAACTTTTGCTGTGTCATCACCTGGTACGAACCAGGAAGTGAAGAAAACAGGGGTTCAGAGGAAACGCGATGTTTTCGAGGAATGATCGCCTTAGTGAGCGAGTTTGTTGGGTTCTGATCGAACAGTTCTTCGGGATAAGCGAG